TTCAGTGACTGGGGTAATCGGGATGGGTGTGTCAGAGGCAATGAGATTGGCACGGGATAGAGCATGGTTTAGGGCTGTTGTACATAGGGTCGCTATGAGTCGCAAATGACTCAACGGCACATAACAACAACAACAAGACAGCCCTATTTATTTATTTATTTATTGATTGATTGATTTATTGATTGATTGGTTCATGGTATGTTCAAGACTCTTCTCTAGCACCACAAATCAAAAGCATCAGTTCTGTCATCCTTAGTCATTGTCCAGCTCTCTCATACATAGCAAGTAATTGTGAAGTCTATGGCTTGGGTTAGGCACACCTTAAGTCTCTAGACTGATTTCGTTGCATCTCAGTATTCTGGAGAGGTCACTGACAGCAGATTTGTGCAATTTGTCTTTGATTTCCTGACCACTGGTGATTGTGGAGCCAAGCAAGCTGTATTTGTTAACAACCTCAGTCTCTTCTTCATCTATCAATGGTGCTGCCAATAGGAAAGATTAAGACACAATGTCCAGTAATGGTGATAATAAGCAACAGTATCCAGACACAGACATAGGCCCCATTGGTTCTAGAGTCCATGTTTTTCTGACTGCAGCATACCATCCAGGGTAACTTTGTGTTCATTGGACAAGAAGTCTTCTCACACGTACCGGCATCCAGAGGTCTCCTGTTCTGTCCTTTCATACAGGTGTCCGTTAATTGACGCCTGACATTCATAATATAAGGAGATATATTCGTCTTGCAAATTCAATGGGTCTATGCCTTTGCCAACAGAATTGTCAGCACTAGGGCCTTCACTTACTGATTGTATATGATTTTCTAACTATAGGAACAGCCTTTTCTCATGCTGTGCTAATATGATGATATCAGTGCTTCTCAGGCTAAGTGTGGTGAAGAATCAGTTTTTGTTTTGTTTTTTTGTTTTTCATATCCAAGCTATTGAGGACTGGTGCTTTTTAACAAAATACAAGTTACATGTTCCAGGCAAGATCAAATTACTATACTGGCTCTCAACTTCTGTACTTATTTCATTGTGGGCTGGTGGAACAAAAAATTTGTGGACCAACATTGGTCTGAGGATGTACTCTACTGTGTAATTTAGGGAAGGCATAAACTTTGGGAGAAATGTATACTTTCTATAAACCACACATTTAAGTTTATAGTATTATGTAGTGTCTCTGTTTAGCTTTCTATGTTTCTACAACTTTTTAATGCATTCACAACTTTTTGAAATTAAAGCAAAAAATCTATGTTTGAAACAAAAATTCAGATTGTCCAAAATGTTCAAAGTAAACATATTCACCTAACTCCCATCCTCCAAACAACTGTTACCATTTCTTAAATTGAAAGTTCCTCTCACATTCAAGGGAAAGTGGTGTGGATCAAGATTTATGAAAAGTGAAGACAGGGAGAGGCAGTTTACTTTAGAAATACACTCAATTTCATACTTTTTTTTTTTAAAGGAGCAAAGTATGACTTTCAAAAAGGTCTTATTACTCTGTATATGGCCAAAGTAGCATAAACATTTTCTTTTATATATTGTACTTGTTAACACTGTTTCTTTTTTCGTTGTAGAGCCAGATTACACTGATGGACATACCTGTGTTTAAAGCCATCCAACCAGAGGTATGAACTTGTTCCTTTACATCCTATACTAAGAAGGGCTATTCCTTACTTAGGAGGATTTAGATTTTCACTGTTAGTACATAGTTTTTCTCTTGAAATCTCTGTAAATGAATATTAACTCAGATCTTTGTCAGTGACAGTATCCAGGAACTTTCCATTTTCCACAGAGTTCATTAGTTAAGCCAGGTGTTTGGGTTCTCCAGAGAATGACAGTTCACCTGGCCCACTCTGGCAAGACCAGGAGCAATTAGTGCCACAGACCTCCATGCTAGAGCTTCAGGCCAATTTGCCACATCAATTTGTTTTTCCAGGTTTCTCCTTCTACAGATGTTCACCCTCAAGAAAGAGATTTAAGCACAGGTTTTCTAGAGAGCTTTCTATCCCTTTTCTGATCTCAAAATCCGGTGGTTGCCTTGTTTCTGATTTTTTAAACTGGTTGTCACAGCAAATATATACACACTTACATTAAAAACCTCAGTGTATTTTAGCAACAATAATGTTAATTTTACTCTCTTAAAAAAATATCCTGGAAATGATTAGCAAAAAAAGGTTGTTTAGTTCAGTCAAGTTTGAAATCTCTTTCAAAGTAGTTTAAGAGACAGAAAACGAATTGCTTGAAGGCATCATTTTATAGAATTCATGGGCATGGATTCCAGTCAGCCTGTAGAGCAATCCAGTACTCACACAGGCAGCCTCCTCTTTCTGCCTCTGTGCTATTCTTCCCATTCTTTCTTTTCGATCTATGCATGACGTCTTTTCTGTTGGATTTGATCTCCTAAAGAACCTGTACTAATATATTTCCCATTTAAGCCACTGTTCCAGGCTGAGAATTAGCAACTCCAGTCTAGCAAAACTTAGTAACAGAAAGAGATTTACAGTGCTGATCCAGTCATATAAGTTTAGGAGTACATGGTCATTATGAACAAATATGCCTGAGTACTCTCTCCCCTTGTAAATGAGGCCTTGGAGAAGAGGGTGTGAATGGGAGATAGGTCAAAATATGTGTGTTACCTGTTGGTGGAAGTGTAAAATGGTGCAACCACTGTGGAAAGCAGTGTGGCGTTTTCTCAAAAAGTTGCAAATAGAGATAGCATTTGACCAAGGAATTCCACTACTGGGAATATACACCAAAGAGACCGTAACTGCCACCCAAGCAGGTATATTCACACCCATGTTTATCACGGCTTTGTTCACAATAGCAAGGAGTTGGAAACAATCTAAGTGCCCATCAACAAATGAATAGATAGAGAAGCTCTGGTATATTCACACAATGGAATACTACGCTGCATTGAAAAACAAGGAACTCATGCAATGTTATTCAAAATCGGTAACACTGGAGGACATTATGCTGAGTGAAATATCTCAGTCAAAAAAAGACAAGTACTGCATGGTGCCACTATTGTAGAATGGGACTGACATCAAGGTTGGGGTAAAACTGAGAAAAACTGGATAAGTTGTGTATACTCATTGAAATAGATGAGGGAGAGAACAGTTTAAAAGTGATATATTATGATAGGGTATTATGGTTATCACCAGAGTCCAGATTGAAGGTTGCATAGTGTACTCGGGGCGGGGGGATTGTATACCAATGAATTTTTCTTTTACTTTTCAAAGAGAAGAGTGAACTGGGGGGGGGAGGGGTTGGCAGGGAGAAAAAGTGCAACAATGAATGAATAGAAATCCAAAATCTCTGTAAATGTTCATTAAAATTAATAAAATTGAAAAAAATGTGGGCTACAATTACCTCGTGAATTTCAGAACATTGTTAGCATAAGGTCTTTCCTCCTACAGTATAATTATTATTACTTTGAGAAGAATGGGAATCCCAAAACACCTGATTGTGCTCAAGTGAAACCTGTACTTGGACCAGGAGGCAGTTGTCAGAACAGAACAAGGAAACACTACATGATTCCAAAGTAGGGAAAGAGTGTGTCAGGGATGTGTCCTGTCTCCATGCCTTTTCAGATTGTATTTAGAATAGATAATTCAGAGGCTGGTCTTTATGAGGGATAATGTGGCATCAGGATTTGAGGGAGACTGATCGACAGCTTGCCTTATGCAGATAATACAATCTAGCTCGCTGAAACTGAGGAGGATCTGAAGCATCTGCTGCATAAAATCAAAGACTTCAGTATCAGTTGAAGCTCAATTAAAAAAAATGCTTCTCATCACTGGCTCAGTTTGCAGCACTATGATAGATAGAGATTGAGTTTATTAACAATTTCAGCTTGTTTGATTCCACAATCAACACTCTTGGCACCATCAGCCAGGAAATCAGAAGATTAATTGGATTATGAAAGTCTGCTGTCAGAGACCTCTCGAGAGGACTGATGTGCCAAGATGTCAGTCTAGAGACCAAGGTGCATCTGATCCAGGCCATGGTCTTCTCAGTTACTTGCTATGCATCAGAGCAACAGAAGAATTGGTACCTTTGAGTTGTAGTACTGGAGTAGAGTATATTGAACATACCATAGACTGCCATGAGAACAAACAGATCCTTCCTGGAGAGAGTGAAACCAAATTGTTCTTTGGAGGCAAGAATTTTGAAGCTTCATCTCATGTATTTTGGGTGTGTTGCCAGCAGGGACTGGCACTTGGAGAAGGCTATCATTCTTGGAAAGGTAGAGGGACAACGCCGGGGAGGAAGACCCTGAATGAGATGGATTGATATAGTGTCTAAGGTAATGTAGGTAGGTGTGTTGGAGACAGTGAAATTGGCTCAGTATAGGACAGGGTTCAAACCTGTTGTACATAGAGTCACCTTGAGTTTCAGGTAATTTGACTGCATATAACAACAAGAAGACTTTAAAAGAATTAGCATATTTTAATACGAAGCAAAGTGTCCAGGCCTGCTTGGACAGACCTGTCCTCTAACCTGTTATAAATGAAGAGGAAAACCATATCACTAGCTGTGTCCAGCATTTTACATGAAGACATAGTAGTGATTTATATTTTTGTGTATGTGTTCATGTGTACACTAGATTGGAGGAGCAGAACTATGTTTATGTTTTTTATTTGGCTAACTCAGGCTGTTTTGAAGGAAATGGCAAAAAATAAGGCTCCAGGAATAGATGGCATACCAATTGACATATTTCAGTTAACAGATGCTGCCCTGGATGTGCTCACCAAGTTGTGCCAAGAAATCTGGAGAACAACCACTTGGCCAACTGACTGGAAGAGATCGATATTTGTTCCT